GCTCTGATGGCTGCTCATTGACTTGGAAAACCATAAACTAACATTATCTATGTGATGCTGTATTTTTATTTGTTTTGTTAAACATCTCCCAATCACCTTTCAGTCCGGCTCCCAGCTGCACTCTGGAGCGTTGTTGGCTGCTCATGGGGCTGGTGGGAGCGAAGGCATTAAATAGCATGGGGAGATTTGCAATGGATGGTTTCCCCATAAACCCAGGACACTCTGGGAACAAACAAACAAGTTGTCACTGGGGAGAGTGAGGACTAGTGGGGATGACATGTGAAGAGCTCACTAGTGAGGAAAAGAGAAGAGGCAGTTCCCACCTCCCAGAGCCCCTGGGAGGAGCCTCGGTTCCCTCATGCTGCCTTCCAGGCCACTGAGGGCGCCCATTAGCCAGCCACTTTCCCATCATGTATGCAGAGCCAAATTAAAACGTGATCGGGAAATATTTGGCAAAATAAATAAAAATACAATAAAGCACAGATAACATTACATTTTAAAACAAAGTCAATATGCGCTCCCACCCCCACCCCCGGATCGTTACGTATGGATTAGTGGTTCCCACTTCTACCTGAGTTTGATGCCACTGGTATAAACACATCTCTTCTTGGCCACCCAAGTCATCTCACCTTCAGTCGGCTAGAACTGGGTCACAGCTCTCCTGTTATAGCTAACACCCCACCCTCATTAAGATTAGTTCTTTTTTTCTGACCCCACAGTTTCCATATCCTTCTTCTGCTTAGCATGCAAATGTATTTCAGCCAGAACAAAAAGGTCCAGAAGCTCAACGATAACAATGGATAACCTCGATAAACTAAGTCAATGCTACCCCGCCCAGGTAACCCACATTCAGGTTCTTATTGAGCCCATCTGTGAGTGGTAAAGCCTGATTGCTTTGCAACATGGCCAGTCTCCCTGTATCCATGGTCACATAGGTAGTGTTGAAGATGGGGATTTGAACTCTCTTGACTCCCAAGTCCAATCAACACGCTTTCCATTATACAACTTGTCCCAGTGCGAGGCTGTGTGGACTACTGCACAATCTCAGGATGAAGTTCTTAGGGGCCATTTTCCCTTCATCCCCTCCTCGCCCTATTCAACAATGTGTTCTCACATGTGCACATTTTTCTGTAACCTCCCTCCATTCAGTTGACTCTCCCCCACGGCTAGGAGCTGAGCTTCCTGGCCAAGTCTAGGCATTACTAACTGAAATGTGGTTGAGTGTGTGTGTGTGTGTGTGTGTGTGTGTGTGTGTGTGTAACTGTCCAACCCCAGCTTTGTATCTCCTTTGCAACACTGGCAACCACAGATTACTTAATCCAGTGTGATAACTGGAGACAGTGAGACGAGGTAGCTTTTGCGAACCTTACAGCCCGTACAAAAGTGAGCTGTTACTGGGAGGATCTTTATGAAAACAAAACAAGATAAAACAACCAGGACCTATGATGCTGTGTGTCTAGGAAGAGAGGAAATTGGAGAGGAAATTCCTAAAGGCCCAGATAGGCACTGACTGGACAATGAAAAGCCTCAGTGATCTGCCCAGGGTCACTTAGACGTGGGCTTCCAGGCACCAAGTCTGCTTGTTCTCCACTACCCCTCACAAATCTATTAATATGAAAAGGCAGCATGGAACAGTGGATAAACTGCTGAACTTGCACTTAGTTGTGAGACTGGGTTTTGTGTCCCACTCAGGAAGACCTGACTTCAGATCTGTCCTCAGACACTTACTAGCTGCATGACCCCAGGCTAGTCACTTACCTTTTGTTTGCCTCAGTTTCCCCATCCATAAAATGGGGATAACAATAGCATCTATTTCTCAGGGTTGTTCTGAGAATCAAATGAGATAATAACTATAAAGTGCTTATTACATAGTAAGTACTATATAAGCGTTAGCTATCATCGTCACAAAACAAAATTCAGTATGCCAGGAAGTTGGATTTTTTGGTTGTAAAAATGGTTTATTAAAAATGGTAGTGTGGCAGCTAGGTGGCGCAGTGGATGGAGCACCAGCCCTGAATTCAGGAGGACCTGAGTTCAAATCTGTCCTCAGACACATACACTCACTAGCTGTGTGACCCTGGGCAAGTCACTTAACCCCACTGCCTAGCCAAAAAAAAAATGGTAGAGACAGCTAGGTGGCACAGTGGATAGAACACCGGACCTGAGTTCAAACGTGGCCTAAGATACTTACTATCTGTGTCACTTACACTGACTGATCAGCCCTGGGCAAGTCACTTAACCCCACTGCCTCCAAAGAAAAAATGGTATTAAAAATGCATTTCTAAGTCTGTTCCTTGTGTAGCAGTCCAGGGAGTTGTAGAGCAGATTTTCCATAGCCTGTCCCCTCCCCCCAACTTGAGCACCCACCTGACATGTTCTGGACTTCCTCCTTTTTGATGTGCTTGTATCATCCAGTCAGGTCATACAAGACCCCTACACCAAAGCAGACAGTGCCTGTTGAACTACCGTCCCTCCTTTGCACGGGCTTTGGTGAAATGAGAGAGTTTTAGGACGCTTTCCTGGGATTCCAACACCATGTCACATTTTCCTTTACAATTTTGCTAAAAGCTGACTGGTTCAGAAAAGCCGACTATTTGCTGATTCATGCTACTAAACGAAACAAAAACCTGCACATTCAGCAAAGCTATTGTGTCCCCTCCTCTTGGACAGAGGGTTCCCGAGTTGGATCAATACCCAGAATGAATCCTTACAGGCAGGGGATTCTAGATGGAGTACAAATGGCAGAGCTGTGATCTCGTCTAAGGATATAAGCCCCCAAGAGCACAGTACTCTCCTGCATTATTAACAGAGTCAGCCAGCCACACCATGGATCCATGGGCACTCTGTGGAAGGCCTTGGAGCTGCAGTCAGAAGCCCAGCCAGGATGGGGACTGGCTAGTGAAAGGTACACCCTCTCGGCCTACAAACGGTCAATCCACAGAGTGGTGAGTTTGGCCTTCCTTGGCTACTGGCCTGACCCAACGGTCACTGAGCTGGCTCGGTCAGTCCATCCCACTGGGGGTCTTCTAGCCTTGCGCGCCCACAGGTGAGGAAACAGACAGGAAGGCGACTTGCCTAAAGCTACCCAGTAAGTAAGCGGCAGAGTCAGGATTTGAAATTAGGTCCTCTTTATCCAAACCTTAGCATTCTTTCCTATTCTTCTAACACAGAACACCCAGGTGGAATTTGGGGACTCCTCCTTTCAATGGATCACTGCCCCTACATCAGCTCCCCTTCTAAGCACACAGATTCACAAGGCTCAAGATGTAGTTTTATTCACAGCTTAGTGGAAACAGGACTTGTATCCAACACCACAGGAAATTATAATGACTTCTAGTAATGCCCTGGGTCGAGCTCCAGTCCTGGGCAGCTAGGTGACCCAGTGGATAGACTGCCAGGCTTAGAGTCAGGAAGACTCATCTTGAGTTCAAATCTGGCCTCAGACATATAATACTTACTAGACGTGTGACCCTGGGCAAGTCACTTCACCTTGTCTGCCTCAGTTTCCCCATCTGTAAAATGAGCTGGAGAAGGAAATGGCAAACCACTCCAGTGTCTCTGCCAAGAAAACCCCAGTGGGGTCATGAAGGGTCAGATACAACTGAACCACAGGTAGGAGCAATTGGTTTATTTCATTTTTTTCCTGTGCATCAATGCACACATGCTCCCCAGCTCTTGCCTGGCCCCAGTTTGGGCCCCCAGGGGCTCTTTGCTCCTCTGCCTCCCCCATTGTTTCACTGAAGCTCTCTTGGGGGGGGGCGCATGGCGGGTTGTTTTGCCACCAGTACTTCACTCCACACTCCCATGCCCTACAGCCCCTACATTCCCATTCCTCAAGTCTGCTGATGTCCATCTAGGCTCTGCTTTCCCTGCAAAGATGGCGCCAGTCACCCTCTTCTTACTCTCTCTCAGCTCTGCCTCTGTCCCTGCTCTCCACCAGCTTCTATCGCTCCTTTTCCGTATGCTTTCTCCGGCAGATAGAGCTCACCCCCTTTTCTAGGGGGCCAGCCTGCTATGAACAAGCCTCAGTGGGGTTGTTTTGTTTTTTTAACTGAAAAAACCCCACTCTCAAACTCCACACACATTATTAAGGTTTGTTTTGTCTTCATAGCCTAAACATCATATAAGTTTCTTGAAGGGGAACAGGAATCTAGTCTCAGTGTGTTTGTAAATGTTTAACAACCAGCCCCCCCCCAAAAAAGGCTGCAAAACACACTTTTAAATTTAATCTGCATTATTCATATTTTCTCCATCACTCTCTAAGTCTAGACAATCAACAAAACAAAAAAAAAATGAGCTCTGATTCGCGGTTTGCTGATTGGGCGGGCTCCAGCACTCCTGTCTCCCTTAGCTTCCCGGGTCTTACATCCTGCCTTCACGTCCACGCCTAAGTCTCCGGGGTCGAGGAGGCCCCTCTGCTTTCTCTACCCTGCCCCGCTTCCCCAGGGGTGGCTGGGCTGGCTTACCCATTTTCCCGAGGCTGCTTCCCAGAGCCTGGGGGAGGATGCTGAGAGGACTCGCTCCTCCCAGTCCTAGGGCCGGGATGCTGGGAAGGAGGAGGGGCTACACACCATCTAAACATTGCAAGGCTAGCCTTCCAGCGCCTGGCTCTGACTCTCACGGTGACTGCCAGGAAGGCTCCTTTCCACATCTGTAAAATGGGGACAAGAAGTCTCAGAGCACCAATGAGATAACGTACGTAAGGCTGTGTCCGAGCCTCTTTTACCATACTCCCCATCCCTAAAACACGAGGCCGGTACCAAGGGCTCCCTCATCCCCTCGGAGCCCAGCCAGTTCATCTGGGGCGCTCGCCTGACGACCCTTGGTCCCCGGGGTGGGCAGAGTGGGGGTCACCTAGACCCAGTCCCCGGCCCCAGCCCCCAGGGTGGGCTGAGTAGGGGTCGCCCCGTCCGACGGCGCCCCGAGCTCCCGCAGCTGTAAGGCGCACTTCCTCGTCGGGAGGCGCGCGGGGGCGGGGCGAAGGTGGGGAGCGGCGGGCGGCCGGCCCTGCGGTTGGACGGGCGTGGCTCCCTGGGGTCACCTGGCGCTGCCAGGTGCCGACCCTGCAGGCTGCCGCTGCGGCCCTCCTTCCTCTTCCTCCTCTCAGAGCCCCCGCCAGACGTCCCCACTTGCCCTGACGCCCGCTCCCACGCTCACGCACTCTCCCGAGGTGAGTACCGTCGGCGGCACCCCCAGGACCGTGAGCCCGGGGGAGGGGCTGCGGGCGCGGGAGCCCCCTCGTCTTCCTGCTTCGCCCTAGTGGTCCCACAGTTGGGGGGGGCAGCCACGAGGGGCCCTGAGCTTCCCCCCAGCCCAGCCCCGAAACTGGCGGGGGTGGGGGGCCGCGGCGGGCTTGTCTGCGCGCTCTCCGTGGTTCCTGCGGTGTCGGGAGGCGAGCCGCCTGCCGTGAGAGCCCCCGGGGCGTCCACACCTGTTGCCCCAGGCCCTCGGCTGCTGCTTTGGTTTGGGGGCCCCTTTTAGAATTTGTCCGCGTCCACCCCCGCTCATCCCCTTCCTCTGCAGACCAGGCAGCCCCCGCTGGTGGAAGCCTGCCGTCGTTTTCACACCAAACTCGGCCCCTTCCCCGCAGGGGGGCGGTCCGGCGCGCGGAAGGAGGGGACGGCCCTCGAAGCCCATCGCCTCTTTTTGTTTTCCCGGGGGACGGTCGGGGGGCGAGGGTGGTGGCTGGCCACACTTTTCCCAGGGAGGCTGCCTAGCCTCGGGAGGCTGCTGGCGAGGTTGGAGGCAGCCTGGCCGGGGCTTCAGGTTTCAGGGTTTTGCAAATGATGTGGGGGAGCTGCAGGCTGTGGGGGGAGGGGAGCCCAAAGCCTTGACGATTGGCGGACCCAAGCCATCACCCTTTCCCCTGCTTTCCATTCCTCCTCCCCTCTCAAGGGTAGGGTCACCCTGAGAACCCAGGCAGGTTAAAATGTTTCACTGGTGCTTAAAAAAAAATCTGGATCTGGGAGATTACTCAGGGTGTCGTAGGGTCGACTCGTTTGGGAACGGACTGGACTAGATGGGGTCGCCTGTGTCATGAGGTCCCTCCCAGCTCTGACTTTCGGGCCCTGGAGGGAGGGCTTTCTCCTTCGGCCAGTATCGAGCCCTTGAAGCCCCTTCCAGCTCCGAGCTCCTGTAATTGGTGTCGGGAGGATCTCCCTGGATAGACAGCTGTGGGGCTCTCGATTTATGTGGCAAGCGGCTGGGGGCCCCTGCCACACTCCTGGATGCGCTTCTCCAAGGCCCGGGGGGCTCCCCCACGGCATTCCCCGATCACTCCATGCTTCTTGGGTGACATTTGGGTACGCTCCCCTTGGTTCAGTGTCCCCCACTCATTTCACCTGGGTCACTGAACCAGAGCTCCTTACCCTTGGGAAGTGTCCAAATGCTTTACTTCTACATTTTAATACTGGGGAGAATTCCAGACCTCTGCCCGCAGGCAGAGGATCTTATTTGTGCTTCTCGGGTCAGGGCATATGCACACATTAAGTGGCCAGGAAGCAAAATTTAAAACTCCGCCTACTTCATTCTTTCCATCATCTGCACTTTCTGGCCAACCACGCCATTGTTCTCTATTTTAACTGTACAGTTTCTTGCGAAGTTTTTCTGCTAAGGGTTCCTTTTTTTTTTGGCGGGGGTGGGGGGAAGGGGGGACGGCGTTTTGCTAGTCAGGTTTCCTAACTGTTCCACTGTTCTGGCTTAAGCGCTTGGGAAGACGAGCTGGGCTGGAGAGGTGTATCAGTGATGCCTGTCGGAGAGGCGTCTCTGGTGTAGCAGACCCCCAGAGGGGGACCGAGTGCTTGGAGCTGGGCTTCCAGCTGTTAATTATTAGTCCTATTTATCTTGTAGATGGCTTTGTATGTGTTTGTCTGCATTCTCCTCCCTCCTCCACCCCTTAGATTGTTAGCTTCCTGAGAGGCAGAAACTGTCTTCTGCCCCTTGTATTTGCTCTTAACAAATATGTATTGATAGATGATTCCCTTGATATAAAGAGAAAACAACCGTCCTATAAAGCCTCTGGCAGCTGTGAGTTCCCACTCTGGGCTGTTTGAGCTCTCTGGAGCTTGTGGGTCATGTTACACTTTTTATAATCAGATGGATACCAAGGATTATGTGCATACTATGTAAGTGCTAGATGGACACGCAGAGACCAAAATGAGGCCCCGGGCCCTCCAGGAGCTGACATCCTTTCATGGGAGACATATTTACAAGTATGTACGAAATAAGGGGAGATTTAATTAACAGACTTCAAAACTTATTCCCACTTGACTTGCAATCATTTCCTTAAATCGTGTTTTGCTTGTAGAAGAATCGGGAGGAAACCTCAGTGGTCAGTGGGCAGAAATCTGGGGAGCGGCTGGAGGATAACATTTGACCATTCATTCACTCATTGTTCAGCTCTGAGGATGTCTCAGTGTGGGGACTCCCTTCACCACTGCAGAAAGGAATCTGTCTGTGACCTAGCAAATTAATCTTAGTGAGTCCATTGGGGAGCCCTGACAAATGGAGTGACATCAAGAGGCAGAATTCGAACCCAGAGCTCGGCCCCCTCATTCTCTCTGCCTCTGTGTTCAGGTCATAGCTGTAGTTGAAAGAAGCAGCCTAAGTTTTCTTTGTCTTGACAGAAGTAGGCAGCTGTGTGGTGGCTCTTATTTCACTGTTTTACTTGATGGTCAATTTCGTGGATGATAAAAAGGCAAAATAACTTTGTCCGAATCTTAACTGAGTAATTTTGTTTCCTATGTTTGAGGATCTGTGATTTCATTGCCGTGTTTTGTCCAGCAATGCTGCTCATGGCCCATCTATGCCTGCCTGTTCTGCTCGGCTCCTGTCCATGTCCTCCCAGAGAACCACTGGACCGTGGTGGCCATGGAAGGTCCACCCAGTGTGCTAGAGGCCTTTTGTGATAGTAAAAATGAGTTCTGCTGTTGAGTATGTCTTACAGCTGCTTACTGGTTCCCTAGTAAAAAACCCTCATCCAAAAAAGCTCTCCCACTTTTTCATTCATTTCCGTTCTGTCCTTTCTGTGGGAACGCTTCATTCTGTTTTAACAGTCAGGCTGAAGGCTCTTCAGTGCATATATACATTATTCTCAAAAGACAATAATCCTTCCATTTTTCCTCTTTTAATGTCTTTAAGATGACCCTGATTAGTTGAGTTTCTCATCAAGCGTTTAAAAATATTTTATTGATAACTTTTATTTCTTAAGTCTGATATATTTGCCTTTCTCTCTCCCTCATCCCTCTCCTAGAGACTCCTACCTTTTTAAGAGGGGTGGGGATAAGGGAAGAATAGTTCAGCAAAACTCATTAATGTTTTGACAGAGTGCAACCTTGCCAAGCTTTCTTTAAACTGTTTTTCACCTTCACCTGCTTCTCTCTGTTCCATGAGGCAATAATGCTTGGTTTCTATTGGTTCCCTTGTTATGAGGATTGGTTCAAATTAGAATCCCAGTGGTCTGTGTCTACATCCTTCCTTTAGTCTATATCTCATTTTTCATCAGGGCTATGACATTTGAATAGGTCAGGATGGAGTTGCCTTTGTTTTGGGCTATTCTTTTTCCTCATTTAGGTCCTTAGGTGTTGTTTCAAGAGGAGATGAATTGGTGTTTACCATCATCAGCCTAGGGATGGTAGAATTAGGCTCTCTGGGGCACTGAAGGCTAATAGCTGTTTTTGCGCAATTAAAATAAATGTGCCTCCACCTAGAGACTAGAGCTGTTACATTTTCTCCTGCTGTCATTACTGAGGCGACTGCTTTAGTTGCTAACTCTGTTGGAGAAGGTGCTGGCCTCAGTCTGTGGAGGGAGGGTTCCTTATAATCTGGAATCACACGTCCAACTCCTGTTTCTAGTCCCAAAGCCTGCACACTGTGGCCCTTAATAAATCTTCGTTGAACCAAGTTGAAATTATCATACCTGTCTCACTAATGAGAATCGTAGGTGTCATGATCATTCTTGTTATTATCCCCATGTCAGAGCAGAAAACTGAGGCTCAGACAGCTTAAATGGCTTGCACAGCTGGTAAGGCTCAGAAGCAATATTTAAAACAATAACGTCTGAACTGACTTTGCATCTGTGACTTTCCATTTTTGTCCTCTCGTGTCAATCTGCCTCCCTAATGTAACCTCACCTATGGACTGTGCACAGCCTTCAGTTGCCTTGCGTTGGCCCAGGAATTCTGAAGCCGCTGAGAGCGCCGAGCTCGGGGATAAACCAGGCTGAGCCAGCACTGTAGCTGTTCTGTGCCAGGTACAGCAGGCTATTGAGGTGAGGCCAGTGCGTCGTCCATTCGAGTCGGTTTAAAAGCATTAAAGCGGCTAACCAGGTTGACTTGTGAATTAGCTAATCAGGACAGCCAGCTGATACTGTTGGAGGAAAAAAGCAAGGTATGATTGGCTTTCTGTTTGCCTGAGTTTCTTCAACTCAAAAATGAGAATCATAACAGGACCTACCTCCCAGGGCTGTTTCGAGGATCCAATGAAATAATAATTGTAAACAAAAAAAAAGTGCTTAGTATAGTGACAGGCACATAGTAGGTGCTTAATAGATGTTTATGTCCTTCCTTCCCCCAACCCTTCATTTTACAGTGGGGGAAATTGAGGCAAACGGTTAGTGACGTGTAGAGCAGCAAACAGCCTGTAAGTGTCTGAGTCTAGATTTGAAGTCGGGTCTTCTCGATTCTAGGCTCAGCTCTCTTTGCAAGCAGAGCCATGCCTTCAGTGCCCTGCGTTCAGTGGTAGAGACAGCATGCACATAGATACACAAAATAAATACACAGTAATTTGGAGCAGGGGAGAAATAGCAGCTGGGAGTTGGGTTGGGGGGAGGTGGTCAGAATAGGCTTCAGGAAGTCGATTTGATTTGAGCCTTGAAGGACTTCAGGGATTTTGAGAATGAAAGATGAAGAGAACATTTCAGGCCTGGTGGACCGTTGTGTCTGAGGAGCCCAAGGCTCATTTGGCTGGATCGGAGGGTGAATATAGGGCAATGCTCATTATTAATAAGGCCGAGACACGAGTGACAGGTACAGAATGATATGTGACAGTTGTAGGTGGACAAATGCAAACCTAGTACTACACGAAGTCTGATTTGGGAAGATTTATCAGCTGCCTAGATCTCCTTCTCCTCCTCAGATCTTGTGCCCTGGCCTTAATCCTCATTACTGGAGA